CCCACTAGAGTGTGCACATGGTGTCCTGCATTAGCTTTTTGCTGGCAGATGTTCAGGTATCATGCAGGTGATGATATTATCTCACCATCAGTATCAGATCATGATTATTCAGTACGGGTTTCATGTTCATGTTCATGCCAGGATCATGTTATTGTACTTATTTTCACTGTTTACTTTAGTATGAGTTTTCACGGAGCACAGTGGACTTTAGTGCTCACGACCCACTTTTATCATGTTTTTCAGGTCATGAAGTTGGGCCGGAGGAGTGAGATGACGGAACTGTTCGGGACTATGCTTATAAAGCTTAAATTACATGAGCTTTATGCTTATAAAGCTTAAATTATGTTTTGTACAATTTGAATTTGGCATAGCAGTGCCGTTATTATTTTTAGATGACTTGTTTTCACGTTCACGGTACTGCTATCCAATTTCACCACTAATGTTTCCGCTGACTTTTCACTGTTTGTCGAACTTAGTCCATTTTGACCAGTCAGCAGACTGTAAGTCAGTTTTCTTAAAAACAGTCTGATTTAAAAGTAAGTCATGTATTAAGGTAGCACTCCGAATCAGTAATTCGCAAATAAATGTTTTATTTTGAAAAGTTTTGCGAAAAACGCACCCTGATTTTCATGTCAAGGCGGGGTGTTACAGTCTCGACATGCCCATCCTAGAGTGGCAAGGCATACTCGTCCCTGTCTACACACGACGAGTCCCAGTCACCCATCTCGCGATATACGTGGAGGCCTTCATTTGGAAAGGGGTGTTCTTCAATGAATTCTTGTTCGCTCTCCTCATTAATTGATCTGTCTGATTCGATTTTCGAGGTCTCATCAGTGAAATCGTCTTCACCGGGACTGAAATCTTCATCTCCAACAATTTCATCCTCAATGTCCGGTCCTCTCATGGTAAAGCTCGTCCCTTCGCCGAAATTACTCGTCCCTTCGTCGAAATTACTCGTCCCTTCACCAAAATTACAAGCATGCGTAGTCTACGTACCCTCACCACCAAACACTCCCCCGTAACCATATGATGGCGAGGATCCTCAACCTGTGTAACCTGTGTGTTTTCTTCCAACACTATATACAAAAACACAAAGGACATAGGAGGAAAATAGTAAATACACGAAAGAGCACTATCATTATTCAGTCTTGCGGGAATAAACGAACCATCCGGTTGTTTGGCCATCAAAGTAATATACGAAATTGTCCAACTATCATGAAATCCACCATTTTCGTAAATCATATCTACCAATTGTTCATATGATATTATTCCATTAATAACAAATGAACAATCCGGACGAGCCAAATAATTTGAAAATTTCCATAACTCACTCTGGGGAATTTTCCAGTACACATTAACAAAGTAGGGACCGATAGACGCTATTTATAACCTGTTGCACAAAAAAAATTCTATTTTACAAATTACAATAACACATAATGTCTAAAATTTAAAACACATTTTATTACGCCAACCAAAAAAAAAAAAAATAAATAAATAAATAAATATTACCAATAAAATAATCCTCCAAAATCCTAATACCCTTATCGAACAATAACGTAGATTTATCTATAATTCGAATAAATTGAAATCCCTAATTCTAACCTTAATTTCCAAAAATCCTAACCCCAACAACAACCAAACAATACAAAATTGATAATTTACACACAAAATTTCAATCTCCAATTTAACATACATACATAATTGATAATCAACTAGCAATTTACAATCTTCAAACACCACCACATTCAAACATATTATAACAATTCGCAATCTCCAAACGACTCCAAACATTGTAAAAAGTTAAGATAGCCAATATACCTCGTGCGAATGAATTAACTGGAAAGGAGGCCCGTGTCGTTGTTGTCGGTTCACGTTAGGGTGAGAATTGGATCGAGTTTTTTTTTTGATTGTTTTCGCTTCTTCACCGCTCTCTGCTCTCTGATTCGCGTAAATGAAATGAAGAGGAAGAGATTTTTTTTTTTATATTTAATTCAGAAAACAAATCCTGAGACTACGTTTACCGACAATTTTATTAATTGTAAAACGTATTCTTGGAATACATTTTAATTAAATATTATTTTTTTTCCAATTTTTTTTTTAAAAATAAAACATATTTCGGAAATCCGTTATTGCGGAAATCCGTTTTATTAAAACGGATTTCCGAAATGCGTTTTATAACATTTCTTTTTTAAAAAATTAAAACTAGAAAAAATACAAATCGTATTTTTAAAAACGTTTTTTAGGGTTTTTGAAAACGTATTTTCATAATACGGTTTATATCTATTTTTTTTTAATATTCGAATATTACCAAAATTTTGTATTTTTTTTAATTTATAAAAATAATAAAAACGAATACATTTTTCTAATTAATTTTTTTTAGAAAAATGTATTTCGAGAATACGTCTGTTTAAATTTTGTCCACACAATTTTTTTATTTTTTATTTTTTATTTTTGTCTACTTACTTTTTTTTTTTAAATAAATAACTCACCCCAATTTCTATACTAATCATTATTTATTTGATACATGCATTTTATAATTAATTCTGCATTCTCCCATCTACCTTACTGCTCTCTCTTTACCGGTGTCTCTCAAATTGTTTCCTTTTCTCTCAATATCAATTCATTAGCGGACACTCATGCACACAAAGCAATACACACACATGTATAGAAGATACCGTATGTATGCGCTTTCAAATAATCATAGCCTGAGAAGCTAGCTCTGTTTTTCTGTTTTGTATCTATTGTATACGCGCACTGCAATCGAAGGGCATTCAACTTCTGAGGTATGTTTCCGTTTTCTAATAACTTTTTGTTAGTTCCGCTACACATCGTGCTCTTTCCATCTTATACTTATCCCATTTATGCATATGCTTCATTGATCTTAATTTTCATTGCAGTATTTTGTTGCTCGGGGCTATGTTATTTTCTGAAAATGGTGACATTTTTCCGTTTGATCAGGTGATAGATATTATGCAACCACCACGTGGTTTCAAGCGATTGACAGAACACAACTCCATGATATATTTTGATTTCAACCTTGGTCGGTCTTTGGGCCTAGGGTTTGATTTAATGTCCTACTGTAGAAATTGGATCCATGAGTGATTGTTTTGTGCCGCCGGTAGTTTGGGTGAAATCTTTTCTTCCCTCCGAAGTGTCCAAAATATTGGGAATTTGGGTATCAGGATTGTGTAGTTTGGTCTTGGCATGGCTAATGTTGGTCAGCTGCCGCAGCAAAAACCTGAGAGCATGGAGAACGACAGCCGTTCCGAGTTCGAGAGGGACCTGGAGGAGCTGATGCTCAGTAATTATGATGAGTACATGTCGTTTGCTTCCTGCAGCTCGCCCAGAACGGCCACCACTGAGGATGATGAGGACGAGGGCGAGCAGCTTGTCAGGAGGAGGCTGAGGTCCGATCTCGGAGGCGATGACCTGGCGGAGTCCTCTGCCGCCCGGAGGCACCACTCGAGGATCCTCAGCCGATGGGCTGCCCGCCAGGCCCAGGAGATGATCACCACCATCGAAAGGAGGAACCGCGAGTCGGAGCTGATGGCGCTTGCTGGGCTCCACACAGTCACCATGCTCGACTCCTCCTTCCTGAGGGAGTCCCAGTCCCAGTCCCCGACCTCGAGGCGCCAGGGGGATGTTGAGAGGCTCAGCTCACGGGCCTCTTCTATCTTTCAGATGTGGCGAGAGCTGGAGGACGAGCACGCCGTAAGCCGTGCTCGAGGGAGAGTGAGGGATAGGTTGATGCAGCAGAGGAGCACGGATTCTAACACGAATACGTCCATTAACTTATCTGAAGAGAACCAGGGGAGTCTGGGCAATTCCAGTGACTATGCCACTTGGTCCCACGATCAGGCGGGCCCACAGGACAGGGACAGGGTCCATGAGAACTCTAGCCGCGAGCAGTCCCCCGATCTTGGGGAAGTCGAGAGGGAGAGGGTGAGGCAGATCGTCCGCGGGTGGATGGAGAGTGGTATTAGCGATAACGTGATGCAGAGGAATGATAGTCCTAGAGCTGAATGGCTCGGGGAGACTGAGCGTGAGAGGGTGAGGATTGTGAGGGAGTGGATGCAGATGACCAGCCAGCAAAGAGGTGGTCGGCGGAGGGAACGTGATAGTGAGCCTGGCGGTGGAGCACATGTTGATGGTGATGGTGCTCGTGAAGGGTCTTCTGCGGAACAAGATGAAGGCCAGCCAGAGCATGTGCGGCGGGACATGTTGAGGTTGAGGGGGCGGCAAGCGCTGCTTGATTTGCTCGTGAGGATTGAAAGGGAAAGACAACGGGAACTTGATGGCTTGCTGGAACATAGAGCTGTTTCTGATTTTGCTCACCGCAATCGTATTCAGGTAATCTTGTCCAAAATTGTGTGTCCTTTATTATTTTCAGATATATTACCTGTTCATTAGAAAGAGCCGAGTTTCTGAATGATGACTGATCGTTTATCAAGTCTGTAACCGATTTGTTGTAATATATAAATTGTCATATGTAACTTGTAATATTTAAGTTCAATACCATAGCTATAGTTACCATATAGCTAGAGAAGCAATTTAGTATGTATCTTGGGTGAGGCAGCAGTGCAGAGAAAGATACGCGAGGTTTGATTTTACTAGTTGTGTCCTAGGTTCTTTTGCTTCATCTGATACTTGCTATATCTACTTCCTGGATATAGGTCATGTGTAATCAGGCCTAGGTTCAACTTCACCTATGTAGATTCGATTTCTATGAAAGAACTTATTTGTCTGGTTTTGTTTTTTCCGCAACTCTTTGATCTGGATTCGAGTGGATTTGAGTGTTTTCGTTGGCGTTCATTTAGACTATATTTATAATTTGCATTGGCTTGCTCTAGGCATGTTGAAAAAATAAATCTTATCCTCCTATGTTGAAATGTCATCTTAGATTGGCATCTTTTATTTTCAGTTGGAACTGTATTGCCAGTTGTGAAGTTTGGACTGCTAGATGAGTAT